TTATTTTTTCTGATAATCCTTCATAATTTATTATACAATTTATCATTCAAAAAGCAATAATTAAGAAAGTTTACAGTGACTGGAAAGATTCCTTATAATTTGAATACAAATGTATTTTTGTCTTGTGGCCATTCTTTGTAGATAATTTCTGCACATCTTTTTATGTACCTAAGATTTAGTAGACAGATACATTGTTTCAGTCAACTTCTCCATAATAATGCTTTAAAATGAGATTTGGGTATTGCCAAAGTTACAGTTGATGTGTTCATTTATAGGATGTGTCATTTGAACAGCAATGTGTAACTTGAGGGTATATGTGCAGAATTACCCAATAGTAACTTGAGTAGAAGGAACAAGAAAAGGAATCTTATATGTTTAATGTTAATAGTTCATATTTTTTTTCTAGCCACAATTTTACTGGGTGACAGGAAGGCTTTGCCAACCTGTTTCTCCAAAAAAGTAGGGTCCTCCCACACCATCCCCAAAGTAGGACCTTCTGAGTGGCCACATAACTTTTGAATCCTTGTGTATTATCTGAAAATGTGAATATGACAAAATGCTATGTTTAAAACCACCGAGAAAATTTCCCAAAGCACAGGTGGTTTTGTATGTATGTAGTTTGCGGGCTTGAGTTCTGAGTGTTTTATTGTTAGTTTTTGTGTTTTTTTTGTCAAAATTGCACAGATGTGGTGCTCTACCAGGAAGGATTTGAAGTAGGCTCAGGCCACACTTAAAAAGTAAACAGAAAAACGGGTATTCTGGTCATCTTAGGGTAAAAGCGGGTGATAAACATTCCTATCCCAAACACATCAATTGTAATTTTTTTCTTTGTAAAACTCATATTTTCCTCAGTATTTGTCTTTACGTTTTATAGTTAATTTAATTGAAGATGAATGGGCATTGCAAATTGTTCAACAACAGTTACCTCATTCAGTATGTCCAGTAGTGCCGGAAGTGATATCTTATCTAATGATTTGCTACTCTAAAGGAGAAACCAAATGTGCTTCAGAAAGGTAGACTGTTATTCTATCTTACTATGCCAAGCCCAAAGATTATCTGTTGGCACTCAAGGTGTAGCAAAGGATGATGTATATTTATAAATGTATTTATACCACTATACCATGTGTATATATATTTATAACCACTTAAATTGTGAGCCAAGCCATGTAAAAGAACCTACTTTTCCTGAGGGGAAAAATCCAAACAAACAAATGACCCTTTTTCCCAAGACTTTGCTTCATACACTTGATGACCTCATAATCAAATCAGTGCTTGGGTACCTCTTTGTCTCTTAACAGGGATCCTGCAGAAGGGAGGACTACATGACAACCAGGGAGAAAGAGATCTATCACTTTTTGTTACTAAGGATCACCTAAGACAGCTGTTTTTGTTTTGCAATATTATGATTATGTAGTCACAGAAAAAAACATTTCTATACCACTATACTTTTTCTTCTCCCTCCTTTCTAAATTACTGGCATAGTACTCTCAGTCTTTTATATATTTAATATTTTGTTCACATCAACTAATGTCAACCTGCAAAAAGAACAAATTTTAAAACATCCAGGGAAACACAAAAGCCTTAACTTCTCTGTTCCTGTAACTGGCAAGACTGACAATCTTTCCCGACCCTTTCTAGGACTCAACCCTAGGGCCTCTCATGCTGGGCAAGTGCTCTACCACTGAGCTGCACCCCAGCCTGAGGGAGCTGATATTTGATGTATCAGTGTTTGACAAGTATAGTTCTTAATTGTAAGTAAACCAAAGCGTCACACCGACACCAAATGCTCTTTATTCCCATGTGTTCTTATTTTCCTTTTGTACCTTCTTGAATCATTTTGAGCTTTTATAAGAAAGATTTCTTGGTTTCTCTTACCATCTGTCTTTCTCTCCTAGGACTCTTACATGGGAATGTTGAGCCCACAATCAACAGTGGTTTTATTTTTTTCCTCTACTCAAAAGTTAAAACTGACCAAAGTTATTGACTTTTTACTTTGCTAGACCAACAAACTATCTTATGTTTACGTACTGGTTTACATTGTTATTTATGTGCTAATTGTCAAAATGTAAATTAAATATAAATGTCCATGCTTTACCAGTACTTGTCTAGTGTCTTGAGTGAAGAGCCCGTGCCCATCATCGTACCTGTACCATAGGGCTGGCCCCAGACATTTTAACAATAGAATTTGCCTCCTCCCACCACCGCTCCTGTTCTGTTTCCAGTAGCACTAGTCATGGTGTCCTAACCTACCCCACCTCGGATTACTCTAGAGATTGACCTGATGGCAGTGATCTTGGTGTCTCTCATAACTCAACAGTGTAAGATATTTCTCTAAGAGTTATAAGTGTCCTGTAAGAATAGCATTTCTGAAAGGCCTTCTTACTTCGTGCCTCTGTGGTGTGTGTGTGTGTGTGTGTGTGTGTGTGTGTGTGTGTGTGAATTCAGCTCCCTGGTGGGTGGGAAGCTCTGGGAAGCAGGATCCATTGATGGCATCAGAGCTGCTTCAGTATCTAACACAGCATACCCTGCACCCACCCGTCAGATCTGAACCTAGGAGGCAGATTTGCTACTTGAATGTTTAAAATGAACTAAACCTGGGATCATGGTGGCATAACGTGGACCCTAAGAGTTAGAGGGTGAGAGGTGAGAATGAGTCTGCTTGTCCATGGGTATGCCAGAAGCTAACCTGTCTCCAAGGGGAAAGGCAAAATAAATTTGTGTCTTATTTGGTAGATACAAGTAGGAAGTGCATCTAGATATGTGATAGTGCCCTCGGGGAAATAATTCTAAAAGCCCTTTGCAAGTGGTTTTCATGCTTCCCACTTCATCCATTACCAAGTTCGTGGTTCCATGCTAACTGCATGCTAAGAAAATAATGTTCCTTCTTAAACTGGAACACTTAACTTCCTGATACTAGGTTTTTAGCATTTAAGTTCACAAACATCTGTGCCAAGAATTTGAAATGCTGCCAAAATGTAACTGTGTAAGAAAACCAGAGCCCCATTGTCATAAAGGTGCCAAATTGTGCGGTTATACTCCTAAATTCTACAGAACCGTTGTGGTAATAATTTTGCAAAACAAAGCCCAAGAAGATCCAGAGTATAGTAGTTACTACTATAAATCATAGTTTTTGGCAAATGATGTCTTTTTGCCCTGAAAGTTACATGTCTTGAGAACACTTGGTGATAGACTTAGCCTGTTTAAAGAAACATTAAAGGGAAGGATAGTATTAGCTATAAGCCAAAGTCCATACTACTGGATCGAGGCTTAGTACAATTGTTTGATGAACAAATCGAGACTGAAGAAGTCACCTTTTTTCTGGCATTTTCCTTAATTAAATAAAAGCTCTATGCCTAAAATTTCCCACTGTAAGTCAATATACAGGATGTACAGCACCATAGGAGTTTATGGGCACATTTCTAGATTTTTTTCTTGGAGGAAATAAAAATCAATTTTGGGCCCACAAATAGGCGTGGGCTAATTCGTGTGTGTGTGTGTGTGTGTGTGTGTGTGTGTGTGTGTGTGTGTGTGATGCCCTCTCCAAAACAGGATAATGAAAAAGGCCAGCGCAGAGGAATGAAAGTAATTAGAGGCACATGGAAAAAGATTTCTAATGTAAAACCAGGCTTCTAGGGTAATATTCTCATCTAGAAAAGAAGGCTGTATCCCAGAGCAGGCAGCTAAACAACTGACAAAAAGGAGAAAAGTTAGATCAAATGTGGTCGTTGAACCAGTCCAGAAGACGGGAGTTTTCTTTGAGAAGCTATGGAGTCCTTTGTCCATGATGTGTCTGTTTCATCAGTAACTGTTGACTAGAAGAAATCAGATAATTGTGAGCCTCTGCTACTTCTCTGGAGTTCCCTTCTGGGTAGATAGTGGATGCAAGAAATGTCCCGGGGCGGGGGGGGGGGGCGGATTTAGCTCAGTGGTGCTGCTCCCTGCCTTGCAAAAGCAAGGACTTGAGCTTGGTCCCTGCTACCAACAGAGAGAGAGAGGGAGGGAGGGAGGAAGAGGGAGGGAGGAAGAGAAAGAGAAAGAAAGAGAAAGAAAGAGAAAGAAGAAAGAAAGAAAGAAAGAAAGAAAGAGAGAGAGAGAGAGAGAGAGAGAGAGAGAGAAAGAAAGAAAGAAAGAAAGAAAGAAAGAAAGAAAGAAAGAAAGAAAGAAAGAAAGAAAGAAAGAAAGAAAGGAAAAGAAAGAAATGTTCCAGGACCGACCCAGGCTAGGCCTCCCATCACATCCTTTCTCAAGCTTGGAGACCTCAGAATCCCTGAGTCCATCTGCTCAGAGTGCTGCTGAAGCAGCTCCTTCAATAAGTGAGAAGTAATTTTAATCTCAATAAAGTCTTAATCATGTAATTTAGGCAAAAACTACAGCCAGCCAGATTCCAGAAAGTTATTTTTAACCAGATTTATGCAAATTCTCTCTCCACTGCCCAGCTTCACACAATATTATAAACTAACAAACTCTCTCCTAGTTTGCTCTAAGTTTGACAGATACTAAACCTGAGTTGGCTGTGTACACAGTTCCTTCTCTACATTTTAGATGGTTTTATTCAGCATAAATGCAAATGTAGAGGGAGGGGGGAAGAGGGGAGGGGAAGGGGATGTAAAAAGAATATTAAATAAGTAAACATGAATGTAGTCACCTTGTAGTTTTCTTCTACATCCACCAAGAAAGACAAAGGAAGTGACAGCTAAGTAACAATGAGTCATTTGGGTAAGAAATTCTTCATTGTATTCAAAGT